ATATATATAGAGCAGGAGCCATTGTAGATACAATCGCAATTTGTGATGCTTTTGTTTAATTTTTGCATATTTAGAGATCCGCTATCGATTGCTGCTTAATATCTCAAAATTTTAAAAATAAATTTAAACGCAACCAACTTGAAATGATTGTAAAATCTTAATGACCTTATTATAATTTTTTATATATGTTTTATATATGATTATAAAAACTAGAGTGTAACTCTATAGAGTTTGATATCACGGAAAGGGAAAGTAATGAATACATGAATGAATGAATGTATGTATGTATGTTTTGCAAAACGAACATTGCATAAAATATATTTTTAAATGGGGAGAAAGGCAACGTTTTAATTATAATTATAGTCTGGTATAGTCGTTCCCTCAATACCGTTCATTATTATTTCATAAATATTATTTAACTTATTTAAGATCTAATCAATTATTAATTTGCTTTAGGCTCCTCTTCTCAAAATTAATATTAAAGATAATTGAAATGAATTGAATTAAGTTTTTTTTTTTGAAATTTCCCATAAACTATACGAAGATGCATTTATCTTAATTTCGTTATTCCGCTAACAGTACGTACGACACTCCTATTTTCGATATTTCTTTTAAAAATGAGACTAAAAGCTGGGAGATATCAAATAAATTTTTACATACGCACATATATTATAAAAGAAATGCCGTAGAAATGGAAACAATAGTACGATTATATTACGATTATGTTATTCTGCTTAAACTGACTTTTCATTATATCCACAGTTTACTTGGCTTTGCTGTTTTTTAAATCAATGAATTAAGAAAAATATGTTTACCTTAACTCACTATTAGATGCTGCGAATCAATCTGCGCGTGAATCAATGAAACAAATGAGGAAATCATATTCGGCTCTCAACGAATTTTTTATGCGCTTATCATAGGAAGAAAAAAATATAGATATCGAATAACATTTTTTCTTGTCTGTTTTCGACCAAAAACAATTTGAAAACAAAGATGTTCTCAGTTCACGTAGGTGTCTCTTGTAATCAATTTCGCCCATTTTGACTGCAAAACTGCGCACAAGAACTTCCAACGTATCTGTCAAATTTGAGCCCGATCTCTTCATTTTTGCGATCATGACAACGTTTACCATAGACAGAAACCTATTTGGACGGACAAATATGCTTAAATCGATTCAGCGCTGGACCCTAATCAAGTGTAAGCACATTCAGGGTTTCTGAAATTCCGCTGTAAGTGCTGGAAATGTATAATTTTTTATGCCCCTTAAGCGTTAAATTATATCATGCAAGTCCGGATTATCATTGAAATTCTGTTATGCTTGTCATCCTTGCTAGAATGTGTGATAAGTGGGGACATTTCAAGGCGCTTCACTTTTATCCCTCCATTTGGGCATTCTGTTTACTTAGGCTAGTTAGATTCATTTTATTCTTATACTTTGCTATATGGTTACAAATTTCTGAAATTTTAGATAATTAAAGTGCTTTGTTGTTCTTCTAGATTTGTTGGTCGATATAAGTAGACGTAGAAAAATATTAAATTTGAATAAAAAGTTATATTTACTCTTTTCTCTGGAAATTAAATTAGATCTCTCCTAATATAATCATCAATCAATTAGGAAATTTCTTTACCTTTGTTAAATTTATTGCGTAACGCGACAAGCAATGGCCTAAAATTCGATGCGAGCTTTATTACAAACTTTACACTAAGCGCTGTTAGAATTGTATTTTAATCACAAATTTTTATTGACTCTTCTTGGTATGCGATTGACTGATATACGAAATAACATAATTAATGCATACGTATTGTTGTCGAAGGTGTGTAAAACGTACGATTACATCATCGAGTATATTTTGTAAACTAAATTTTAATCTTGAGTAATCAAATACATTTTATTTTATTTGATAGAAATATGCAAATTTTATAATATAATACAATGTAATCTTTTTCAATTAGTCGAACTATAAACATAGTTTATTATAAAAACATCACGAAATTGATGCTCCAACGTTTCATTCTTTATTTAAATATAAAGAAAAAAAAAAAAAAAAAAAAAAATACCTGCAAAGTTGGTTATATTTTCTTAACTGTTCTCTTTGGTAAATTTAGTAGATACTAGTCACAAAGGATGAAATATATTTAAGAATTAAGACAAAAAAGCAATTTCATATGATATGGTCACAAGGTATTTAATATACTTACGGGAGAAATTTTGTCAAACTTATCTGATGTTAATTTTGCTGAAATATTGCCAGAGTTAAGAATTATATTCGCTTATAATAACTAACATCAGTTATATTAGTTCACAATCAAAATGCACTGTGATGATATTGGTCAAGCCTTGTTATATAATCTTTTAATGCAATTAATGGTATATCCTTGCTGGTATTGTGATAATAATGATAGATAACTTGTCTCTTTACCTTTGATTCCGCAATTAAAAGCGCTAGCGGTAGCGTAATAAAACTCGCATGCTATAAAGGTCTTTGATACAAAAAAAAAAATATTTCTGTTTACTTTGTGAGTTAGTTGGGTTAATCTAATTCGATTAGAACTTGGAAAAACTAAAAAAATATGTCTGCCGTCAAGAGCAACAAAAAAAACATCATCAATCTACTATTAGTCGCCTCAAACAAGATCACGCTGTCTACAACCCATAAAAAATTGAAGTTTATTTAAAATTTCGTGAAAACTTTAAGCAAAGCAAACGTAATATTTATTTATCGCAAAGGGAAAATTTTCTAGATTTCGTGATACGAAACTTGAAGAGAGATTTTTTTGGCGCTTAATCATCATCAACCTTTATAAAAAAGCTCAATTTGATTCTATACTTGAATGCGATGAAAGCGCTGCCTGGGATCATTTTAAAATGATAGCAATAAATATTCCGGGAAACAGAAGAGTCTCTAACCTGGAAGATTTTTTTAACGCATCTTGTCACGTGCTATTTAAACTTAAGTTGGACTGTCCCACTAAATGTATGAATTTTGTGACGCCGTCGTATAGATTACTTTCTGAAAAACGGTGTTGCACTGGCAAATGGCAAATGGGGCGAGTGATTTCATCAACAAACTTGCAAATATGAAAAAGAGCTGTCAGAAGATATGAAGCTCTGACATGACATGGCGAACTATTACTGAACATAAAGTCATGAGAAATGTTCGTAGGAAAGATCCGACATACTTCACTTTAAATAAAATTCGTCGCTTGGTCAAAACACGTATTAGTCGAAGTATCTTAAAAATTAGCGACCTGTACAGTAAGTACACAAATCCATGTACACATATTCGAAAGTCGGACACACAAGTCCAAATGGATTAAGAAAATGTTTCTGAAGAGAATGCCAATGAAGAGGAAAATATTTTTTCTTTTTTAGGTGATGGACGAAAATCGGTCTAAAAATTCTAGATAGTTGGCACACAAGCGGTAAACATAATTCTGAAATTCTTAATTATGCGAGACATTTTGGACAAGGTATGTGCTGCCGCTCGGTCATTTTATAATTGTATTTACAGTTATGCAACAATTCGATGACACTAAAGACCTTAAGTTTAATTACACTACGAAATATATATGAAAAACTGAGTTAAGCACTCAGCAACGTAGTTGCATGGCCGTTAATGAGATCTACTTTGGAAGCTCATAGAATGAACTTTAACAATTCATATTTTTTCTTGTTTTTTCCGAGCAAATCCCCAATGAGTTTTATTGTAAGATTTTTCAATTTTCTAATAAAATTGTCTACCTTTAAGACTTTTCCTAATAAGCTGATCCATATCAAAGAAGAGAAGAGAAAAAACCCGTGCTTACCGAAACACAAACTCATTTATGTGTAAATTTTTGCAAAAAAAATCATTAGAAATTTTCAATTTTCAGTAGGAAGTAATTTTTGCGTTATTTGCCCTTGATAATTATGGAAATGAGATGAACAATAATTTAACCTATTCGCCCAGCATGGAGATAAAAAATGATAATTATAAATTAAATTAGGGAAGTGAGGGGAAAGCAGTTCCCCAGTCCCATTTACTTAATTACAGAGACCTTCAATTTGTTTTTCTTTTCTTTTTCATATTGAATGCGTCACTCGAACTTAATCGAAATATGACAAAAACCAGATTTTTACCATAGAATTATCATAATTTTGTGACCTTGTGACTATTAGCGGCAACATTTGCATTTAAAATGATCAAATCGTTAGAAACTAATTTTAAAATTTACATAAATATTCATACATATGTAGATGCTCTACACTCTTCTTATTTCTTAAGATTTACATATTAATCTTGACAAACTTGAAAATGCTTTTAAAATATTGTTCCTTCAGCTTAAGAAGAATCTTGAGACGTATAATTTGCTTTTGCTATGAATGTTAATGGGTTTAAAAACATTTATAAGTTATGATTATGACATGTTCCACGTAAAATTCCATTTTCTTTGTACAAAAAATAAAAAAAAAACCCAAAATTTTATGATGTGATCTTTTACCATGAATCAATTAAAAATGAATAGAACGGAATTTAATTTTCGGCATATATTATATACCATTTTATTCACTTACAATATATTGTGTAGAAAGAGATTAACTTAGTGTTTATTTTTTCTTTCGGTAAACATAACCGCCATTAGAACCGTATTGGGTATCTACGCCTCCGACTGAGCTCGAATAGGTGGCGACAGGTGCTGCATGGCTAGTGTATGAGGTATGGACAGCTGGAGCAGCATATGCTGATACACCAGCAGACTCATGATGACCGTAGTCACCTGAGGAAGAGTAACTAGAAACAGCTGGGGCTGAGTAGCCCGATCCGTAACCGGAACTATAGGATTCCGAAACACCGGAATGACCAGAAACAAGTGGAACTGCATAACCTGAAGAACCTGAAGATCCAGAATAACCAGATCCAGAATAACCAGATCCAGAATAACCAGATCCAGAATAGCCAGATCCTGAGTATCCGCCTCCGGAATAACCGCCTCCGGAATAACCGCCTCCGGAATAACCTCCGGCTGAATAACCACCAGATCCTGAGTAACCAGAAGCTACATGTCCAGTACCAACCGATTCTGTATAACCAGAATTACCCGATCCCGAATAACTGGCACCGACCGATCCTGCATATTCTGAATATCCCGAATCTGATGATCCTGAATAGCTGCTAACAGCAGGAGCCGCGTAACTGGCGCCATGTGAAGCGTAACTAACAGCCGGTGCAGCGTAACTAACAGACGGTGCAGCATAACTAGTCTCATGGGATCCGCTAGAGTAAGTTGAATGAACAGCCGGAGCAGCATAACTTTCATGAGCTGGTGGCAAATATTCCTTAGAAGAAGCAGCGTAAGTTGCACTGTGATAATTACCTGCACCTAAACTGGAACCGTAGGAGACCGAAGGAGCTGCATAGTTACCAGATGATATGCTACCGTGCGAATACGTTGATGGCGGCAGGTAAGTTTTCGACAAATGACTCACATCGGCACAGGCCACACTTATTAGACCAAAAACAAATAAAAATTTCTGCGAAAATAAAATAATAAATGAAAGGAATTCGGTCACGTTCAAATTTCACAATCATCTTGAAAGTATAATTTTAGGCAATTATTTAATACATCTGTTGCGCTTAACAATATCTTTAAACTTATTGCACAACTAATGTTTTTACTTTATAATCAATCTTAATAAATGCTAACCATTTTTTTCGATAGTAACGGAAGATCGCTGGTGATGAACTGTATGAGGAATTCGTTGAAACTAATATATTTCTCGAGCATTCAGGTTCAATTTATACCGAATAACAACATGATGGTTATTTTAACATCGAACGAAAGCATAAATACGCAGACGTACATATGTAAATGTTATCGAATTTGCAAATCTTTTGTTTGATTTTAACTTTTCAAGTTGAAGTTTGCAAATTTTGAAAAAATTGAAAGCAAAGCAAAATAAAAAAAAAAAAAAAAAAAAAAAAAAAAAAGAAACAGCAGAAAATAATTAATTGATTTGTGTAACCCCGATCTTATTAAGAGGCGAAAACCTGTCGCTTTCATCAGTAGTTTTATGAGCCAGTTGTCAAAGTGTTTGTTTAAACTATCATAATAATAATAATAATAATAATAATGAAAATAATAATAATAATAGTACGGTAAAATTATAGATTTTCATTAAAATTTATGAATTTTTTAGATATTTTTATATTTTCGCTCTTTCTAAACGTTAAAAATAGGAAATCATTTTTATGTGTCATTAAAATTTTATAATGACATCTATATAAAGACCCGAGCTTAGTCCAACAAACCAATTAGCTTTAAATTGAATAATGAATAATATTATCAGTCAGTGCATCTCCATAAAGTCGAGTTTTTTTTTTTTATGCTGAGCAAATTCAAAGACATTTCGAGTGAGATTAAGATTTTCGATGAATAATATCATTGAGGCGTTTTTAAAAATGCTACGTCTGCAACAATATCAAACACGCACTGGCATTGGGCATTTCCCCAATTTAAAGTGGCAGATCGTCTGATTAGTTTGCCTATTAAGACATCGTATAAATGAATCGCTCAGGTATTGAATAAAAATGTGACTTTTTAACCTGAATGGACCGTTCGTAAGCGTTACGCAATAATAGAAGTTAACCCGGTAAGAGTAGAGATCATAATTTTCGGGATTATTATTAAACAGGTCAAGTTCTTTCCCGAAAAAAGAGAAAAAATTCTGCTTGGTTCGACGGGCAATGTTGCTGAATTATTGCGGGTTATAAACAGTCGATGGTTTCCGTTATTTAAAACCCAAATAACAATGTTGCAGATTAGGCGAACCCTTGTAATCGACAATGAAGTTGAGTATTCATGGTTGTTCCATCGTTGAGAAATGCTAACCCCAAATCATTGAAGCGATTACGTCACATCATGAGTCTTCATAGACGCAATATTCAGCCTCGTCAGGCACAACTTTCCCCGGAAACATTGATAGCGTTAATCTTCAAACGATGGAACAAGCAATGACTAGTGGTAGACAAGACGTTTAGGTTTAGATTTAGGTTTCATTGGAAAATCTATATAAATTTTGTGGCATTGTCAACAGTTGTATGGAACGGTCTTAGGTTGGATGAGGTGCTTTCCGCGAGTATTTACAATGTATTTAAAAGCTTGCTAACTAAAAACCGACTTTTTGGGCAATTATCACCTCGAGAGAATATACAGAAAAATCGCCAAACCTTTCACTGAAAGTATTACCTAGTGTCGTTGCACGTCGTTGCAAATTATTTACAACATCTATATATATGCTAAAGATTTGAACAATATCAAAAAATGTGTTTTTCTTCAGATTCACATCAAGTGAGTAACGGGGCCGAAAAGCAAACTTTTCGGCCCCGTTTTGCCGTCTCATACGTTCGGCGTTTTACGTTCTCTATTTTCTCTGCTTTGTTGTAGTCATAATCCGCGTCATAGTCCGCGTCTTAAGCGGACAGAAAGAGGTTAACAACAAAAGTCTTTTTGTGTATTGCCAATGCTTTTACTTTAACGATAGGCTCAGTCAGCTTCAGTCGTTTGTCGTGGTGTTCCTGATGGTGTCGTTGGACTATGGCACCTAATAATCGACTAAATCCATTTAATCCTCCTCCTGTATTGTGCTAAACTAACTCACTGGTAGTAAGGAAGCACTTTACTTCGAAGTAAGCAGGAAGACTAACGTCTCCTCCTTATCAGGATGGTTTTTACCTTTGTCTAAATTTCAACGGGTCAAAATATACTGTTACGCAATGCTTAAGAATTATACAGTATTATATATATTCACAAATAATGTAACAGCTATCTGGAAGGAAGACCGGTTGGGATTATTTGTCTACAGTTGATATATACATAATGTCAGATATGTTTATCTGGCAATGCCTTCATATTAAATTACTAAACTTTGCATCTGACAATTCCTGTACTTATAGAGAAAATAACAAAAGTAATTATTACTGAATTTACTGAGTAACATACGTGTTTTGAGATAAATTAGAATTTTAACAGTTTTTTTCCTTCAATATTGATACTCATTTGACTTGACATCTTGGATAAACTTCATATTTATTAATAGGCACAACAATTTTCAGGAAATATAGTCAATGACATAGCAACAAATGATTATGCGATATGATCATCATCGATGATAGGCAAAAAAATTGCAAAGTCTGAGATAACTAATGATAATTGTTTCCAAGGAGTGCATCAATTTACGATGAGTGATAGCATTTAAGGATTCCTTTGACTTGCTTTTAAATCTCATGTATGATAGAAATGCGAGGGCCAATCATGAATTGATTTGTTAACGTTAGTTATATCTTCTTGAGAGTTACAGCAGAGTAGGGAAATGAATTTATAAATAGAACGAATTTTTATTTATTAAGAACGAAAATAGAACACGATTACTAGCTAGTAGCATACGATGATACTTTTTTGAATGCGTTTTTATAATGAGTTATTATTTGTAGAGCGTAAAAACCATGCAATTGATCACTTATAAGATGATGTTCACTGCTCAGCAAATCAAATATAGATAATCGTAGATAAGGCAACCGATGTTTACTGTTCACGAGTATTGCAATACGAACGCTCAAATACAGATACGCTTAGATTAAGCAATCGAAAGATTGCATCGAGTTTCGCTTAAGTCTCGGCAGCGTGCAAAGCTTCTGTTTGTTCAAAAGTAAACATCTTGGACGTAAACCGAAAGCTCGTTTTTATTGGTATTTCTTAACCGATCACTTTGATAAGTTTTAATTGCCCTTACAGGCGTACGGACTCATCGAAGTTCAGCAGCGACTGGAAATTTATCAATAGAAAAATGAAACTCTGACAATTGCAAAATATCACAACAACAACATATGTGAACTTTAAGTGATTATTAGGAAGAGAACGTTTTCAAAATAACTAAGCAATGATGATAAAAATAGTAAAAACAATTACTATTTCTTATGATAAAGGAAACGCGTAATAATTAATCTTTTATTTAGGCCTTTATGTGATGTTAGCTCTTTAGCTCGCGTAAGCCTAACTGCTCGTTGAGTCGAGATGAAATTTTGCAAGCAGGCGTTCCACTCATATTACTTTCTAAAATATAAGGATATGATTAGTGCTAAGAGACCAAGAAAATTGGAACGAGATTTTTGAAAAGGTCCATTGGGAACATGGGACAATTATTGCAGAGAATTGCAAAAAGACTTCTACACTAAGTCGGCAAAAAAGAAAAGCAAATATTGCCGATTTGAAGTATGTGAGAAGGCAAAATATTCATAAGCTTCGCTTTAAATTTTGGTGTTTCGTTCATAGTGCTTTTATTCCCTACACCCCTTCTGATACCGGGGCATATTAAGTTTGTGCGGACATATCGAAGACCTAGAAGGACTTAAGATAGCCCCACCTTTTATTATACCGATCAATTCAGAATCATTTTCTCTATCGATCTCAGTTTATCTGTCCATCCGTCCATCTCTGCTTTCTTGTGTTCAATCTATAGGCCACAATTTTTGAGATATTTTGATGGAATTTGGTGTAACGGTCCAATGTGTTGGGCCAAGGAACGCTATTCAAAATGATTCGGATCCGATATCTTTTTCTACCATTTCCCATATAACACTTTAGTTTGGCGAGTTGTTATATCATCAATTGTATTAACCAAAGTGGTGTAGGGTATTTAATGATGGACCATATCCCCTTATATTGTTTCTACTGGAAATCGAATCGAATACGTCTTTTTTTTTTTCAGCTAAAGTCTTTGAAAATGAACTACGATTACAACATTTTGGTATAACTAAATCGTTTTAGAATTGTAGTGTTGTGGAGTATATTTAAGCTTCGTAGCAACTGGGACGCATATTGTCGGTTACTAATAATCCAATGATGGAATCATTACTTGCTTATTTTTCATGACGGAAAAGAGTTGCCTCGTGTGCAGACATTATAAATATATGAATAATGCGTATTTATTATATTTTAAATTGATTTATTTACAAAAATTGCAATAATTAACAAATAGCATTGATGGTAATTTACATAAGATATTTTAGGAAGATAGAATCTTTCCGGTTCGCTAGATTGTAAGATTCATTCTGTTTTATTGTTATTGTTCTTCACTTTTTGTACACATAACCACCATTGGAAGCGTATTGAGTGCCAGCGTCACCCGATGAATAACTGAAAGACGATCCTGAATAGCCAGAAGTTGGGGCGGAGTATGTGCCCTGCACAGCTGGAACGTAAGTTTGTTGTACAGGAGGCAAATAATCTTGTTGCACAGCAGGTAATTGATATGAAACCGATGGTGCGTTATAAGTGGTATCAACGGCGGGTGCTGAGTATCCAAAGGAACCACTGAAACCACCTAAACCACCTAAACCACCTAAACCACTTGAGCCACCGGTCGAGTAACTATGCTTATTGGGTGGCAAATATTCATTTACAGGTGCGGCATAACTCTGCTGCACGGCAGGTACTGAATAAGTTGGCTGCTGTACCAAAGGTGGTGAATAGCTTTGCTGCACCAGTGGTGTTGAATAACTAAATCCGGCGTTCGAATAACTTTGCTGTGCAGGTGGTAGATATTTCTTGGATAAATGGCTAACATCAGCCGATGCTAAGGCCAAGAGAGCACAAGTGACAACAACGAATATTTTCTAAAGGAAGAATAGATTTGAGAAACTTTTTAAGGTTTTGTTCATTTCTTTTTTTTTTCTTTTAATTTTTTTTATAATCTGTTTTATAAATTTTACTTTTAAGTAACCACTTTTTTAAATATTATTTTAAAATTTGAAATATTTTTTTTTTGTTTTTTGTTTTTTTAATAAACCCACCATTTTTATTTGAAGGTTTTCTTAAAATTTTTTACTTTAATTATTTACGTTTACAGAAGTAACCCTGTTAACCGTACGCTGTAAAGATTGGAACTGATACTTTTGGTCACTCGTATCGGTCAATTTATACAGAAAACTTATGCTTAGAAGAAGTTACAGCCCAAAGCTGGGAATGCTGTAAATATGGGGTTAAAACTAGTTTGCTATTATGTACGAATGCTTGCAAGTATACGAGACTTACAATGTAAATGTATATGTATATATTTATGTATATATGAGAGACAAAGTACCAAAAAATAATAAAAATAAATATTTAAAACATCTTAAACATAGGCGACAGTTAGTCATTCAAAAATGAAATGAAATAAAAAGGTACTGACTGCAAAGAGAGTAAGTAAGGAATTCAAAGCATATATATATATATATATATATATATTAATATACGTTTCCAATACGAGTGATTGTTAAAAAAAAAAACAAAATTAAACAAAAAAAAAAAAAATATATGAACAATAATAATAATAATAATAATAAAGTTATTGTTGTATTCCAAACATGCACATAAAAAAAATTGAAAAAAAACCGCATATTACACCTCTACGGAACTACGACATGCTTGCTGCCGGCATTTGCACGTGTACTTAAATTGTATAACAATGTTGTGGCACTAAGTAAAAAAAAAAAAAAAAAAAAAAAAAAAAAAAAAAAATACCTAACTATACATCTTCACACTTCTTGTCAAATTAATGATCATGTCTATGATGATTACGATGGTTAGTAAAATTGCACATATTTTACGAGACTCTCTAAATTATTGATACACACTAAAAGCATTATATAAATTAGAAAAGGATTTATTGACAAAAATTAAATTATTTTATGTCAAAATTTTCTTGTAAAAATAAACTCAAAATAACAATTATTATTATTATTATTATTTAATAACTATTTACAAAGCAATGCACATATATTTAAGTTATTTCTAATGCTAATACCTTTCCCTAAAGATGAAGGGAAAAGTTGCACAAAGTAATTCAACCTTCTTTCACACTTTTTACCAATGTCATGTACAGGCTCACTTAATAAAAATGAAATTATCGTATGATATATTAATAATTGAATCCTTAATTAGATTAGAAATCATATTGATATGTAAACTTTTACTACAAAACACTGCAATATTCCAATTACTCCACTAGATTTGATAAAGTTCTGCAATATTTGGCGATTTTAAAATTTCTTGTACAAATCCTTTTGGAATTTATTTCGTATCACTGAACTGTGCTTTTCAGGTTTCATTTGTAATTTTTAAGAGATCCATTTACAAATTATTTAGAGGAACTGGTATTTATAACGATTCAACTGTCTAAACTCGAGTGCACGTGACTTGAGTAAGTAATTTCCTTGTGACTGTCCTTTTCGTGTTAATCCCCTTCTCCGCGAAATGTTCGGCGACAATTGCTAGATGCGTGAGGCAGATAAAGGACCATATATGTGTATTTGGCATTATCATCTTTTTGAAAGTTGCTTTCTTTCATGCAAACTCGATTCATCAAATGTAGGATTTTCGCAGCAACTATGCGTATTTAATTAAATCATAAATAGGATTTTAATATTTTACCTGAAAGAATACGTTTGATTTCAAAATTTTTTTTGCTCACCCACTCTTCCCACTCAGATTGCGCTTAAAATCCAATAAAATCGGCCCAACACATATATACATATATATATGTCGATGACAAAGAGAGGGTCGGTAGGGCCAAAAAGGACCATGAGGACCATGAATTGCAACGCTTATGGAACGAAAATCCAGCTAAAACTGTCAAAAAACTTTCGAACAGCTTTGCGATTCTTGGCAGCTACACGCGATGTGGAAGGTCCAATATAAGAGAAAGTGGCTAACGATACGAATCGTGATTTCATGGCTTGTCAGGGAAAAATATAAAAGTTTCCTGTGGCGTATTGTGACTGGCGATGGAAAGTGATCTCTATCCCAAGTGCAAGGCCTAGGAGAGCCATCCACGTCGACACCGAAGCAGAATATTTGTGGAATATTTATAAAGTTTTACCGCGTGTATGGTGGAATTAGTAAGATGTAGTGCAGTACGAGCTGCTAAAAGTGAATGAGGACTGTTACTACAGTTCAACAGAAGTTGTTCACAGACGCAAACTCATCTCGTTGCATGACAACGCTCGGCCATCTGTTGCAAGAGCTGTCAAGCATACACTCTTTCAACTCGAATGGGAAGTTTGGTGTGGCCGCAGCCAATCTATCTTGCAAGTACCATTTGTTGAGATCAAATCGCTTAGCATGACCGTTGAAGAAGGTCGTTGCCACAATCAATATCGTTCCTTCGATACGGTATCGCCATGCTGCCAAAAAGGTGGACAAAAGCTGCAGAAAATAATGGAAAATATTTTGATCAATAAATATGTATTATATCAACATTTCCCACTAAATAATTAATTTTTTGAAGTGAAAATATAATCGAACTGCATGCAAGCATTTAAAACATGATACGCCCGAGAATATCGAAAACGTGGAAAATCTCAACACGGATCAAAGGTACCATCGATATAGGTGATCAATACAGTTTTTAAGAAAGAATCTTTTACCGTTTTGTTATAATATAAGCTTCAAAAAAAAGGAAAGAAGAAAAAGTCATAAGTTATTTTTACACTTGGTTAATATGTGCATAGCTGAATGGACAACCGAAAGAAAATAAGAAATATATATATATATATATATATGTAGATATAAATACACTTACATATTTTCAAAGAGAACTTTATTAAAAACAATTAAAAATGAAAAATCATTTAATGACATTTCGAAAGAAATTACAAGTCATCATATAGTTGTAAAGAAGGTCAGCAATGAGAAATAAAAATGAAAGAAAAAAACAAAAAAAACAAAAAAAAAAAAAACTTAAAATATTTCCATTTAATTGTGTAAAGCGTAAATTATTTCAACTTTTACTTTTTATGCTCGAAATTGGAAAATATAGGTATAGTAGTTTCATCACTACGCTGGTCACGAGTGTATTTGTATTATGGTAAATTTTTATTGAATTACCCGATTTGGTGTCTCTTTGCCGCTACAATTCCACAAATTGGGCTGGAAAATGGGCGTGTTCTATTTACTGTCACATTCGAATCGATATATTTGACATTGTTTGGAAATTGAGCGAATGTGCATCAGGGATCCTCTGCGGGGGGGGAATTCCACACAGCTCTAAACTTTTACTTCTTCAACGTCATCCAAATTTTCTTTTCTTTTTTCTCATTTTATGCACCAATTTTTTATTATAGCAGACACGACTTACGGTACACGGGTGTATAAAATTTGCGCGGACCGTATGCAACAAGCAGAAGAACTTGAAGTAGACTCACCATTATTATCCATATTATACCGATCGATTCAGAATCACTTGCTGAATTGATTTGATTTAGCCTTGCGGGTTCGTCTCGTTTTTCTTTTGTTCAATGTACAGGTCAAAATTTTCGATAAGATTTTTAACATTTCATACAGGATCCACTATTACAAAATGGGTGAAATCGGACACCTTTACCGAGCACTTCGCACTGCAACGTCTTACTTTCGGATAATTGTCATGTGAACAACATTGTACGATGATGTAGTATTATTTAGTAGCGGACCGCGTACTACTATAGGGTTTTTAGCTGTGTGTAAAAAATGCCGGCATTAAGTGTTAAACAATTCGACTTGAGTTCAATTAATTTCTCTCGTTTGATATGAAGAAAAATAAAAAAAAAAGCATATTCACCCTGACATGAAGGCAAAATTAAAACCTTAACCTTTTGCTTTTTCACCGCTTGAAAATCTACTAAAATACTGCATCAAGTGTTTGCCAGCAAGCAGTGTATAATCATTTTGTCTGTGGAAATGCTTATTAAATTATTTTTTGTTTTTATTTTAACTTCTAATTAAAATAACGGTTATGAATAAATTATAAAAATATAAAAGATATAAAATTGATTTGTTTTGTGATCCATTACCAATCAGTTTAACCTCTTCAGGAACGAATGTTTTTAACGTAATAAAAATAAGCAAATTTAAATTTATTTTCTTATCGAAAGTAAAACACGAAAAAAATGAAAAACTTTAAAAGTTCATGAAAGTACAGTATGTGGCTATTCTTATGTATGACAATTGGACGCTTTTCGTGTCAGTTCAGAATAAGTTCGCAATTCAAAATTTCATTTTTCATTTGAATCACTGGCCAATAATTTTACGGACTGGGCATATAGATGTCGGTCTTGAAAAAGTGCAAATACTTTTGCATATCATTTATCAAAAATGAGTTCCACTCGCGATTAAACATTGCCGGCTGATGAGAAAATGTGCCTTTTAAACTCAGCGTTTGCTTGGCAAGTATTATGCGTACTTTCCTTAATCGAAATCAAGAAGATTATGCGGGCATTGTTCGTACAGAATACAATCGTCTCTCAAAGAAGATAGCTACACCAGAAAATATCTGAAAATGATTTGAAAAGTAGTTGGAACAAATAGCTGACATTCCTAAGGATATCAAGAGGCAGTGCATGCGAAATCGGTTTTTCAAGTGAATGCCGCGTTTACTCGATTAAGAATACCACGTTACATGTCAAGGACTAAAAGTGCAAAATTCTATGAACTCTGGCTCGAATCGCTATTCCGTTTATTCTATTTTGCAAGTCTAGCCCGCAGCGACTATTATGTCTTTGTCAATATCAGAAGGATGGTTTAAGGAAAACGTTTTGGATCCAACGATGAGATCAGAGTAAAAATTGAAGTACATTTTGAGTATCTTGACAAATTTGTTTTTGAAAAAAAAGCATCGAAATACGAGAGAAATGTACTTGCATCACTCTTGACGGTTAAAGTTAAATTTTGTGAAACAACTTCAGCTCGGATATATTATATCATTAATAAATTGAAATTGTATCGTGATATTAGATGTGTTACGATTACTATCAATTCTAGCATACTCTGAAAGGTTGCGTTACAAGCTGAAATTTATTGAGTTTTTGTAGAAAACTCTTCACTTTTTACTCAAAGCCCTTTGGATGTGTACACTTTTTTCTAGGC